GTGAATTTTGTCTAATCTAAATTTGAAATCTAGTTAGATTATCATATCCTTCTAATATAGCTAGAAGTCCACTACATAAAATAATATAGTTCATGGAAATTTTCAAATATTTTCACTAGTTTTAATAAAATACTCTAGTTGTCATTATTGGCATTATGTGTATACTTGTTTGATCTATAAGTAGCATGTGTTATATTAGGTTTAAAAAAGTTTATCAAATACGTTAGACTGTCAGTAATATGTGCATACAAATATTGATCAACAGAACAAGTTTTATTTTTCTTTAATTAAGTGTTAGTATTAATAAGGGGTACTCAAAGATGTAACCCAAAATGCTCAAACTTCTTGAGAAGTTCTAAAACATAATGTTCTTGTGATACCATTGTACTATTACCCTTCCTTATGATTTAAAACTCAAAATTACATTTCTCTTACCTATGTCTTTCATACAAATCTACCAGCAAGAGAATATTTTGTCAATTGGTTAGAGGATGATATAGTAGGCTTCGAATTAGTGAGAGTAAGAGCAACATCATCCATTGAAAAGTTTGTTAGAGATGGTACTGATAATTATATTTTCATGAAATCAAAGTTTCAATTGATTAGAAGATTGTTTAGCAAGCTTGGAACCAGTGAAAGGAAAAACAACACATTCTTGCCATCTTTTGAAGTCATCTTTATTAAAAACCTCAACTTTGATATATAAAAGAATGACTTTACAAATAATACAGTAGTAATATAAGAATCTTTGGAGGAGGCACACCTTTGAAATCAATAAGAGTATTAGACACAACAACAATAGTAGGACAATCACCATTAGTGGCAGAAATAGTAAGTTTAGCAGCCCAAGAATCTATATTTGTCATTTAAGATTTTTATAAACATTGGATGGAATTGATATAGCTTCAGGGTGCAAAAATTGCCCTTAAGGATAATTCGCCAACAATTGCGAATTAAAAAAATAAGATAAATGTACCCTTTAAGATTCAACAAGCTTCTAGTAAGCAACTAAGAGACAAGAAATAATAGTATAACCTTTTAAAATCCAATAAAGAAAATAATAGAGTTGTATGTGTATCAGCTTATAAGTATGTCTGAGGAATTTATGAGCATATTCAAACGATTAGTTTAAGCAAATTCGCAAGCTCTTCTACTAGGTAGCTTAAAGATATGAAACAAACAATATAATCTTTTAGAGGTCAGCAAAAAAAATAATAAGATTATCTGTATGTCGATATACAAGTATATATGAAAATTTTAAGAATACATCTAAACAATTATTTAAATATATTTAATTTTGATAATTAATTATCAGCTGCTAGTGATGGTAATAATTGAATTGGTGATGTAGGATAAAAAGAGTTTAAAGAGAAAATTTAGAATAAATATGTCAAGAATCAAACTTGAAGATCTTGAATCTCAATAATTAAAATAATATTTTAATGTTTAAACAATAATTATAATAGTCTACTTAATAATTAAGGTAAGATACCTTATTTTTAGTCTCTAAGATACAATAAAAACAGAAAATTTATTAAAAAAAAAAACAAAGAAAATATGAAAATAAGTTAAATATAAAGTATTAGGAAATATAAATTTTTTTTTTAAAAAAAAATAGGAAAATAAGATCTTCATACTTTCTTTTATTGTAAACTTTTCAAAACTTTAGATAAAAAAATTTAAATATTCATATTCCTTTCAGTTAACTTTTCAAAATATTTATACTTTTATTTATTTATTTATTCTGTCTCATATTTTTTATAAGTAAAATATGTATACTTTTAAAAGCTACCTATTCTGCATCAATTGGCAAATACTAGTAGTTCAATTGCCAATGACTAATAACAACTATAAACAATTAAATGATGGAATAATAATAATTAATAATAGTTATTTTAATTAGCGTTTAATTGTTCTTTTGAAAATTTTAAAACTTAAAAAAGCAATAATCATTAACTAATAGTTAAAGGCTTGCATCTCTAAGGAAGAAATGAGAAAATAATTGGTTACCGAATACCCTAATAATATAACCCTTTCACATAATCAAATTAAAATATTCCCACATCAACCATTCATTTTGGTTCTTCCAACAGATCATGTTCGTTAACAAGACCAAGCAAACTTCCATGGTGGCAACAAAAGAAGAAGAGAGAGAGAAGAAAAAGTCTGTGAATTTGATGGACTGTTACAAAGATGATTACTATCTCCTTACATGAAAGTGTCATCTAGCAATCACACTTGATAACATTGATAGAGTACA